AAATGATAAAATACCTTGTTTTTTGCTAACAATAAATGTACAGCAAAATATTACATTGTTGATTGACATTTGCTTCGATACAGTATGTTGTATCAGATTAAATCGTAAAGTTATTATGTATAATTATTATAACAATTTATGAACTATAAGAAAGTAAATTTTATCAAAATTTTATATCCGACGTCAATAACTGTAGTGTGTTACTTACGTCACCAAAGGTTGATATGGATAACAGAACTATTTTTCCCGCAGTTATCTTGATAGTGTGACTCGATTGCATGATTATCAAAATGAGACCGAGCGCTGTTTTGTGAGGTAATTTATACCATTTGGTCATATATGCTACGTCTCCAATTTTTTTACACTAATAAATGAAAATATTTAGAAATTTCTTTAAATATCTGAATGTCTAATGTCGAAAAAATATCAAAGGAGGATATGATTAATCAGATCTATTTGTTTGACTCGTATTATTGTAGTTACAATTCAGTGGCTAGTGTAGGTCTGTGGTGCGGTTGTACAGATGCAACAAATTAAATTATATAGTACAAATATTTATACTGTTATTGTGATTTCTGTTATTTCAATCATTAAGATCTTCAGTTGGTGACTTTTAAGCTTGGATCAGACTACCAACTTTGTTAGTCTAATTAGTGCTAGAAGTTCACTAAACTTGAATTTTTTCTATTCCGATTGATTAAATTTTAATCCAATCTCAATCCCAATCCGTCGTGTCTGATACGGGCTTTAGTTAACTGACGAGGATCTCAGAAGGATAGGTACTGATTTTCGAAATCGCAATAACATAACAATTTGTACTATATAAACTTGATATTAAAAAGTATTTTGATGTTAATACAATTACATTACTTGTTTAAATATATAATAATAAAATAATAATAAAGCATTCAATATTTCAAATTTATTTAACGAAACGACATTGTATTATATTTTATATATGTATAATCGAAATGATTGAATTTTCACAATTCTAAAAAATCTTTTTTATTTCAAGGTATTACCTGTTCCGTGAGGATCTCTCCAATATAACAAAATATAAATATATTGAAACCCGTCGACATGTACCCGATAAAATATGATAATATTTTTGCTCTATTAAGCGTACCCCAGTTCTGGAAAATCATTTGATAGCTTTACTTACTGTGGAAAAATAAGATTAATCTGTTTTTGCGGCATCTCAGTTACGATACGAGAAGATGTTTTATTCATCTTTAGCATACCACAACAATGGAATATCCAAGGAAACACATTTTCATCGTGCATCCCATCACTTCTACTAGACAGGCTTTATTCATAATACTCTCTATTTGTTCTACAAAACTGAAACATATTTCTACAGTTACACATACATTCAAGCGTGATGTTACGTTTCTTTTGCAAAATTTATTTTAGACGATCTACGATTTGTGTTAGTATTTAGTATAATATATTTTTACAATCTATGTGTACTGTGTAATACGAAGAACATTTAAGTAATAGGAATACATTCATCTGTGTATGTATATGTATATGTATGTATGTGTTTGTGTAATGTGTACACATATTCATTCTAAAATTTAACGCGAGTTATATGTATAGTAGATCGTTTAAAATAAATTTAAATATTTGCATAGTTTTTTTCTCTCTTTCTCTTACATGTACTTCAATTTACGATATAGTATAACAATATTTTAAGTTTAACGTAAGATATTAGTTCATGCAAAGCAATGTAATGGAAATGTTTATTTATATCTTTAATACTCAATAAAAAGAAACTCGCACAAAGTGCAATCAAAACTCTGTATTTGGTTGTAAGTAAAATACCTGAGGACTCTCCTGTGATGTTTTACGACAACTGCAAGTTTTTGTTCTGCTAAGTGATTTTTCTTCTCCTCGGCAAGCTCGTTTAACCACGTATGCATTACATTCAGTTAACCACAAGCATGTGTTGCGAAAACGGCAGCGAGAGTGCAGACAGTTGCTGTAGAGGAAACTATTACAAACGCCAACAAGAATTGCACACCCAGCATGATCTCGTTCGCAGGGCTAAATCTCACGTCAAGTATCTTGCTGTACACTGAACATGCCATCGGATGCATTGTAATGGTTTTGTTGCCGATGATAACGGTTGTTGTTTTCATCATCCTGGCCACGCCAAAGAAGTACGTACTACTGTGCATAAACGTCGCGCAGAACGCGGTCATGAAGCGGCCGATCTTGGCATATTGGAACATCACTTCGCGGTTATCGTTTCTCCGAATCCGTCTCCAATCCGTTTCCATATGCCGTATGCAATGTTGAATGTCTTTGTTACGCGTGAGTAACATCCAGTAATTTACAGCTCCCATGATTCCGTGAATCAGCGGAGTGAGGGAGTGTAATTTAGTCTTAATGTCTTTTTTCTCGAATAACATGTACAACATGCATGGTATCAGAGGGACCGCCATCGCAGCCCAAAGAATGAAGATTTGCATTAACACCGCGAGTTTTTTCATTCTGTTCGACGCGCTTATTTGTGGCCAAGCACCTAGCGATATGAGAAACCATCGATTTAATTGTATACCGTAGTCATTGAGGTTTTCGTTATCTGTTATGTGTTTCGGATCGCTCATGATCGTTTCACAAAGACGACCGATACGTTACTGCAATGATCATCTTAAGTTTTGCTTATAGCTGTAGCTTAACTAGAGACATGCATAAATACGCTTGCGCCAGCTTTTAACAATGTTTTGTGAAGCGACGTGTCGATGGCATTGTCCTAAGAAGAGCGAACGCTCGTGTCCAATCAATAATTGTATCCAATCAATAATCGTTCTTTACACGAAGCCTGCTTGCCAGTTTGACAAGAGACCGCGTTCAGTGAACAGTGTGAAAATATTTTTCCGAAAGTGATAACCAACTTTTGATTTTTCGTTATTTTGTATCGCTTACCGTTTATTAGGTGAAACGTGTATAATATGACAAATTACTTTTTCAAAAAATTCTACATGTAGTGATTGTGATGTACGTAATAATAAAGTCCAAAAGTTTCTGACGCAAGATTTAATATGTGTGACAGGTGATAAAATAAAAAAATTATTTATTTTTCAATACATTCACTTTTTATTTTTTAATTAAATGATTTAATTTTTCTATACCGCTGAAAAATTACTCTGAATTGTTTTCCTTAAAATTGTTTAACAAGGAGATTAATTTCTTATTATTGTTAAAATTTTTTTCACGTAAATCGGATTTCAATTTAAAAGTTCCTTTTGTATTTTTAAAGTTCTCTTTGTATTTTTCAAATAAAAGTCCGATTTACGTGGAAAATGGGTCTGGTTTTAAATAACAGGTGGTTGTGTGTGTGTGGAGTCGGCTATTGACAGCCGGTCGATCCAGCTGTCATTTTAAACAACCGTCGTCGTTTAAAAATTATGTCAGTCGATATCTTCCCCAAGGTTTTAGTTTGTCAGTCATACGTTCTCTAGACTTTATTTTTTTTCGCCGGTTAGTCCAATTTATAGATATTTTTAGTCTAAATATTTTACAGATTTGTTAATATTATTGGAGTTTTTCTAATATTTCCCCTTGGATATTACACTATCTTTGTACATTTATTTTTTAAATTCTTATCTCATGCTCATCGTGTAGAGCTTGAGATTATTTAATTTATCTATTACCCT